ATTCTTCTGGCCCGAAAATGTGGGGGGACACTTTCTGACATGGTGGCTTAAGATGGATGAATGATAAATTAAAGGTTTCCTTTTTTACTTCCTGTTACACATATATTTGCAATAGGAAAATGTTACACCTGGCTATCAAGTGCTAACTCACAGCAAAATCAATGTTACATTGTTATACTGGTTTTTATCTAAGGTCTTAAACAATTTTTTGTAAGTTGAGTTATGGTCACAGCTAAAATTAAGGGCTAAAAGTGCAGCACCACATGTTTAGTTTTCCATCCGTTGACAGTTGCCTTCTTGGTGTAAGTCTTAATACATTTAACAAGATGTGGAAATCTGGTAAAAGACGCCCCCCACCTTATTGTTTTGCAATAAAGCTGCTCAATTTACACATGTTATCTTAGGGTATTCATTTAAGTAACTTCAGTCCACTAAGATTGTGATGTTGTGGTGTTGCACTTTGTTAAGTGTTTTATAGGAGACCTCTTAGTAACATATCAATTGCAATTATATGTATGTATAATTATCATTTCTGTACTATACTGTTTTGTTGTGTTTTATCTTGTGCACCTAAATGTAAGGCAAGTTTCCAAACTGGGATAGTAAATTATTGATCAAACTAATACAGTTGGGCGCTAATTAAAAAAACTCGCACCAGATCATACAAGCCTCATGAATAATAAAAAAAAACCTGAACCTGTAGCCAAGTTCAACAGAGACGTCACAATCTTCTGCCAGATTGTATTGTCAGAGTCTAATCGAATGTATGATGTTGGGTGATAAATAAAACCCCTGTTTACTTGTGGCTGCCACTGACATATGTTGTGTGTAAGAAAAGAACCATTTACAAACTCAAAGTTGGATTCATCATAGATCACAGACAGACCAGAAGGTGAGCGAAGAGAATCAGAAGAATTAATTTTACCTTAAGTGATGTTTTTACTTGTTATAGCAGATGAACAGGAGAAACTCATAACACTGAGAATAGTTTCAATCCATAATAGTGTTGCCAATGAACAGAATACACAACACCTACACATTATTATTACTATTTCAATAAAAGGAAATACTGTTGAAAAATCCCTGACACTGTTTTTTCAGTGTTTCTAAAAGATAAATTATGCTACTAATAATTTCTTCAACCATTTTCTGTGAACATACACATTTATATTACATAGTGTCCACGTCCAAGGGGGTAAAGAAAATGTGGAAATTGTAGGTTTGCACCCTCACTCAGTGTGTGTTTGTGTGTGCACGCATGTGCATACATGCAACAAAGAAATGTCTTTGCTCCCAAATATTAACCTCTGTCTTGAGGAAACGTTCTATATGTCCTCATACTCCATCCAAACTGCAAATTGGTTGGGAAACAACAATGGATCAAGGTGGCGAACATATTCTCCGATGATTTTTGAAGAGAGAGAAGCCTTGAAAGATGATGAAGAGGAAGAGTTTTCAGAGTATGAGGATCACATTTCTGACAGTGAGTTTGAGGAGGGCGATGAAATTAACCATCAGCCAGCTCCAAAATAAATCCTGTCAGCCGACAACCACAGGACCAGGCCACCAGCAGCCAGAAAGTGTAGAAATATGGATGTCAAAAAATTGTGAAATGAAATGTTCTTTTGCCAAAGGATTGAGCCACCCTGCATGCTGCCAATGTGATAAGGATGCCACCAACTCCTTTAAAACGATTTATTTAATGTCACTAAAATAGCAGAATAAAAACAAAAGGTGTTCAGCTACAATACAACAAAAGACGGCCATGGCAAATATTGTTGTAAATGTGGAAAAAAGTGACTCTCAAACATTCACGCCAGTTTTTTAAACATGGTTTGAAGCTAAATGTGACAAAATGTTGCTGTTATTTTCAGCGTGAGCTGCTTTACCAACGGCACCCCATACTTAAAATATATATTTTTTTAACAGCAAAAAGGGTTAAATGGATATTAAATATATTACTAAAATCACTCAAATGAACCTCGGTAGATATCAACCAGTTTCAACTTTATCTACACGCAAATTCTTCATCAGTGTCTCTGTGGGGTAGTAAGGTAGTTCGGCAGAGTGAGGGGAGTGGACACACACACACACAGGCGCACGCGCGCGCACACACTCACACACACACACTTCTCCTTCACTTAGCTTTTATCAGCCTCGCGTCACGTCTGATTCACTGGCCCTCGTCCGGTTCCTCTTCTCGGGTTTCTCTTTGCTGTCCCGTTTATCGTGGAAACTACATCGGTGTCACAGTCCACCTCGCTGTGTGTCCAACTCTCCAGTCGTGGTGTCTCACCCGTGTCCTCTCTCTGTCTCTCTACCTGTCCCAATCAAGTTCTTTAAAAGAAGCACCCCTCCTCCCTGCGTCTGCCAATCCTGGGCCCTGTGAGATGTGGTCCACTTCACCACAGCTGTTTGTACTCACTCTGATCCTCCTATAAACATGCAGCAAACTAAAACATGCAACTAAAACCATGCAACACACAAAGCAACAAAACCAACTGCAAAACATATATATAACTAATACTGCAAACAGAACACTAGTTTAAAACATGCAAATATTGGATCAGAATCAGAATCAGTTCTTTATTAATCCCGGTAGGGAAATTCAAACGTTACAGAGCCCCTGAGAAAGAAGTGAAAGAGTAAAAGCAGGTATAAACATAGTAATTTAAAAATGATGTAAGACTAAAATGAAATAAAAGATAAACATATGTTGAAATAAACACCGGTATGTATGGATTTACATCTTTTCCTATTTGCATCTTGCTTGTCCTGTTTTTTATTGTCGCATCCTGGAAGAGCTGCTGCACTTCATGCAGCTTGATTGTCAACATAGCTAACTCGTTAGCCATATTACTGGTCTCACAATGAGACCTGGGTTAAGTTGGATGAAGAGGGATCTTGTGGATTTGGTTAGCAGCTAAAGGCAAAAATGATCATTATGTTGAATGTTTCATTCTGGATCCCCATCAGCTTATAAAAGGTTGGCGTACTGTGAATAGTATATATTAATAATATAAATATATTCTCTTAAATCTCACACTGTTTTTGTTCAAATGTAACATCCCTCAGCAGTTGACCTGTCCCAATGGAGCCAGCAGCTAATCCAAGGAAGAAGGTGATGAGAGATGACAGCAATCCAAATCACCCTACGTCAAAGTGTAATAAAAGAGGCCAGTGGGCCAACAAGAGGGAGTTCTTTTTGGCAGTCTTTGGTGAAATCATTGGCCTGGGAAATGTTTGGAGATTTCCATATCTGTGCTTCAAAAATGGAGGCGGTAAGAGAACAATTCTCTAAAGTCTAATCTATGAGTGGACATTTGGGGAGGACAAGTTAAGTTACATGTTTCAATCTTCTGCAATCATCAGTTACACTTTACACTTTACACTTCTATAAGGATGTTTTATTCATCACATTTGTGATTTTTCTCAAAAAAAGGTGTTTTCCTGGTTCCTTATGTTTTATTCCTGGTCACATGTGGAATCCCCATCTTCTTTCTGGAGCTGTCTCTGGGGCAGTTAACTGGTCAGGGTTCAATCACATGTTGGAGGAAAATATGTCCTATACTTGAAGGTACTGTGAGTTCAGTTAAACATTTAATACAGAAGAGTTGATGTAAAAAAAAATATTATTGTTGCATCTTATGTTCTCATTTGATGATGTGTGTAAATAGGTTTAGGATATGGCGGTCAACTAGTTATTCTTTACACTGTGATGTATTACATCATCATCTTGGCTTGGGCAATCTTCTACCTCTTCTCCTCCTTCAACTCTAAGCTGCTCTTGGCCAGCTGTAACAACACCTGGAATACAGGTGAACATACATATTATCACACATGTTCCTCTATTAACACAAACGTGGTATATGACCTAGTCCCAAATCCTGATGACTGTTTATCTCTCTGTGCCAGCAACAGCCAGTAGTTAGAGAAATTACCTTTTCGGTATGGCCATCCGTCCGTCTTATAAACATGATGTCTCAAAAAAAACGCCTTGAAGCAATTTATTCCAATTCTGTATAAATGTTCGCTTTGGCTTGAAAGATGAACTGATACAATTTTGATGGTCAAAGGTCAAGGTCATTGTGGCCAACACATTTTTGGTCTTGTGAAAGTAACATCTCGAGCACACAATGAGAGAATTTCTTCAGATTAGGTACAGATGTTTAGTTCTAATCACAGATGAACTGATTGGATTTTGGTGGTCAAAGGTAGATGTCCCAATGACCAGATGCATGTTTTGTAATGTAGACACGACATCTCAGGAACAAATCCAGACTGTCTTTTGAAATTTTGTACAAAATTAATGGATGAATTGATTCGAATTTTACAGTCAAAGGTCAAGGTGGCCCTGTAAAGAAGGGATGTGGATACTGAGAGGAGGAAGAGTGAGAGTGAAGAAAGAGAGGACACACAGCAGACAGAAAACTGCTCTAAAATCCCACAAAGTTAGCACCTGTTAACAACTGCTTAACATAGCAAAAACATAACAACAATTTCCTTCAGCTGTTAAGCCAGAGCGAAATATATCTACACATAGAATGAGTGACTCAAAGATGAAGTATATCTCCAATTATATTCAAGGGGCAGAAGGCAGAGTGTTAAAGTTGATCTAAAAAACTTTGATTATGCTCTGGAATGTGTTCAGCATGAATACACAATCATAAGAATCCCTGACTGTTTGTGATTATATATTTCTGCATGTACTCTATCGAGATCTTTGGCCAGTTTCCTAGAGTCTTGTTCTTTCCCATGTTGTGGTCCATGTTAATCAATGTTCTGCCGTCCTCTTCTCCAGTTGTCCACATGACCCGTGCACTTTCCTTTTTAAGCTGTCGCTGCCTATCGAGTTGACATTCAGAAGACGACCACGCACTTGACCACATACTGAACCACCTGATCCACCAGTCCTCAGTATGGACCTGAGATTCTTCTTTATCGCCTCAGCGCTCATCCTGGGGGCCACCGTCACCATGCTCCTGGCAGAGGAAACCGCACAGTGCAAAGTCAAATGGTAAAGTGTTTTATTTTGTTTCTTTGTTGTTTGGGGAATTATCTGCATAGTTAGTGATGATAGTATAGAACAGTTTAGATTTAATTAACCTGTGTTGAATGAAACTGTTTATATGAAGTGCACAGTGGGTACTGCATCAAATGTGTCAGCAACTTGTGTAATTTTCTAACATTCATCCATTCATCCATTCATCCATACCGCTTATCATTGATGGGGGTCGCCAGTGTATCACAGGGCCAACATACAGAGACAAACAAACCTCCACTCTCACGTTCACACCTATGGGCAATTTAGAGTCTCTAAATAACCTAACCCCAATCGGTATGTCTCTGGACTGTGGGAAAAAGTCAGAGAAATCCCATGCAGACACGAGGAGAGCATGCAAACACAGATACCACAGTGCTAACCACCACATCCCATTATCTGATTATTAATATCAAAACTGCAGCAGGGATTCCTGGGTGCAGAGGCATCACCATGTAAACACTTATGCATAGATAATTCTTTACAAAGCTGCTTGATTTGCATGAAATCCACTGCAGTCACAGTGCAAAAGGTCAAATTGGTCAAGGTGCTTATGAATTCATAGTTCTGTGCAGTCAAAGTTCATTTCTCATGCTTGTTATCATCCGCTTGTGCTCACAAGACTGCCATTAGTCATGTCTCGTGCACACAACCAGAACATTCAAATCAGTACAATGCACACTTGTCATAAATACTATATGAGCTTTTCAAGTTAGCACAACTGTAACAAACCTAACTTTTCTTCTCCGCAGGTTGTTTGGCATTTCATGCAGTGAAGTCACTGAGAAGCTGGTGAGCCAGATCAAGGCCTGGCAGAGCGGGCCGAGCTGTTTGTCTGCAGGGGAGAGGTGCTCATATGAGGTGACAAACATCTGTCAACTGTTGAATTTGAGTAATACATTTATGAAATAATTATTATAATATCTGTCATATCGACAACAATCAGAATAAAAAAATGTGTTAACAAGCCAATGGATGTTAACATTTTTGAGTTTTTATAAACATAGGTTGATCATATAATGCCCATAAATGAAGATTGATGTCTGATGCATAGTTCATGTACCTCATTGTATATAAATAATACACTGTAAAATGTTTTTTATTTCAATTGATTATTGTTCCATACTCTTATTCTAAATTAGTGATCTGCCCGTAGTCTCGTTGACACAGGATTTTTCCAACTTGCTGCAGTAATAACTTAATTTTAGTGTTGAACTATTACTTCTATTACTACTGACCAGAGGCCACTGGCCAGTGATACACACACGATGCACATATGTCTGTGTCTGACTGTGACATGTGTCTGCAGCTTGTGTCGACAGCTCCGTACCTGATCAAAGCCACGCACATGTCTCCAAAAACAAAGAGAGTTAATGACCTTCAGTTTCTTCTGGAGCAGTCCACCGTTTGTAAGATGAGTGTAAGTATTTTTTTATTTTTTCAATGATACAGCAGACCAATTTTATCTCATCAGTCATCTGGGAGTCTATATGATTTAATGCAGCAATAATAAATATATCATACTCTGAGGGAAATGCTATTCTGCCGACCTCAGTGCGTGTTCGGGGAAAATCAAAGAGGGAAATCAGAGTTCAGGTTGATCAGCTTTTTTGTGTTTCATGAAAAATCTGCACCTTCTGATATTTCTGTAATGTGCAGGGTGACGCTGTGTCCGAGGTTTCCAAAGACCCTGCTGACAATAACACAAACTACTGCAGCCTCCAGAACCTGATGGATGGTAAATCTACTCTCTCTCTGTATGTTCCATATTCCATATGTACGAGTTAAAGACCAGGCTCACTCAGAACTAATTTAAATTATTCTTACATTCATTCACACAATTTATCTCTGGTAACAATCAAGTTTAACAATATATTTTCTCTGTTCAGGGAGTGGCCTGATTGATGCTGAGGGATACAAACAGTTCACCAACAAGTGGATCTGCCCTGGGTTTGAGACTGCAAACTGTACCTTATCTTAAGAGGACAGTAAATCCTCTTGGCAGAATTATATCCCTATTATATGCCAACTAATATGTAGAATAGTAACCCTCAAGAATAATATAACGTCTGAGTAAACTCTTTAATCTTAAACCTTAAATCGTTCCTCTGTTGAGCCTATGTATGAGCATTACTCAAGTTTTTCTGTAAAAGCTTTTTAAAAGCATCATGTGTAAAGTAATCTAAAGCTGTTACCATAAATTCAATGAAATAGAATAAAAAATCTACTGTTTCAAAGCAGCTTAACCTGAATAAATCAATATATTATATGGCTGATGTGATTTTTTACAATGAATTAACTATAGATATGAATACAACAAAAAGGAGTTTTGGACTGACTCATTGTTCCCTCATTAAACTGTGCATCTCTGTGGGTATGGGAAAGTTTTAACCAGATTGATATGTGCTTATATTAAAAAAAAGATGTAATGAGCATAATTTGGGTGAATCTTTAAAAAACTGGTAATTGTGATGGGGGGTACGGGGGGTGTAGTGTGGCACATTTTGGCAAATATAATCCACACATTTATTGTGAAAAAGTTTTGCATATGAATCACAATACAAAAGAATTAAGAAACAAAGTTTGTCCATATCAGCTAAATTATTCAAGACAGAGTGTAAATATATGAAAATGTCATATCTGTTTGAAATAAGACAAAGGCTGAGAATCACTTTCAGAAAGAAAAGGCCTCTTGTTTCCAAAAGTGTATTCTTGAATGTATTTGGTTGCACTTCACATGTGAAGGAAGTAGATTATTATAAAGCGGTCATGTACTAAAACTGCTTTCTATAGAGTGAAATAATGTGGAAGTTGCATTTATCTTTTAAGTGCTGTCAAGTGACAGTGTGATTGGTTGCCAAAACGCAAGAGCTGATGCCCTCGGTGCCATACATTGTACAATATACAGTAGTTTGTTATTACATGTCAAATAAAACAGAAACATGAGCCCTTTCAAGTGAAGCATACAAAAGATGTTTCGGTCTAAAAAACGAAACAGCTCCTCCTTGTGGGAGAAGCTGCAGTTTGATTTAAAGTGAAAGACAAACAAGGCACTTGACTGGACCTGCTTCACAGTGAAGCTGCTGAAGACCCTGGTTGAAACTTTTTGACATTGTTCTTAATATGTGGTCATTCACATGTAGGTAGGATTTGCAGAATAAATGTATGCAGGTCACCAAATTGGTGTAAACAAGTGTACCATCACGTTTTACATCTGTAAACACAGAGTTTTTGATCACCACACCATGAGCATGCTCTGTTGTACTGCTGATGCGTATGGAGATTAGTGTATGCAGGTTATTTTTGTTGACATTGTAACAGTGACTCCTTAAAGCGAGTGTGTCAATTAATAAGCCAGATGCTGTTAGATGCATTACATTACATATGATTATGTAGTTAAACACAGTAACATTAGTCCTACCGCTTCTAAATGAAGACCATTGCATGATTTATGAGTAGTATATGATGTATTCTTGAAAAAGACTTATCATATTGCATCTTAACACTAAATAAAATGTGAGCTTAAACTTTTATTGAATCCTCGTAGGAAATACTCCCCGTTGTCTGAAGAAAAGTAAATCACATTTGCGGAGGAAAGCGAGTCTGCAGTCTCTCAAGCGCTCGCTCCTCATGGTCAATCGAGATGTCAGGCCTCTTCATTTTTTCTTTTTTTTTTAACTTGACGTGGCACACAAAGGCTGTGAGTCCAGGCCAGGCTGTGCTGTCCATCGTGGGCCTCGTCTTTCAGGACAGAGGCCTCCTTAGTGGGCGGTTCCATGGACGTCAGAGTTCACTGCGTTTTAGCGCCTGCTTGTGTTTCTGTCTCTGTGACTTCTGTCAGGCAGCAGTAGAGCAGAGTCTGCGTGTATCTGGTGGCAAAAGCTGGAGGAGGGAAAGAGGGAACATGTGGTGGGGACAACAAAAGACAGAGTGGAAAGGTCAGGACTGTCGATACTGCTTATCTATGATGACTAATGTGTTAATGGAAAGTGACGTATGGGACAGACTGTGTAAGGAAGTAAGACTCTGTAATGATCAACAGTAATCTCATTAAGTTAAAATTCTCAAATCTTTAGATAAAGGTCAGTAACTCAGAGGGGAAGTACCTTCCCTGTATCACTTCCTCCTAACATGTTGCAAGTGACCAAACACCCAAAGGAGTTAATTACACCACATAAAAAAGCATACAATAAACGTCCTACTGCTCTGTGATTATTGTAAATGGACATTTGAGTCCAAAGCTTACCATTTAATTTACGTATGAAATTGGGCCTCTTGTCCTCAGGCAGGTAAATGGCCACATAATAAACTGGCACCCCAGAGAGCGCAATGCCAATCCCTATGAGAGAGTTGATGGTGTCTGCGTAAAGAGGAACAAGGACTAAGAACAGGCTGCAAAGGCAGTAGATGAAGGGGAAGAGCAGGGTCAACTGTGGACAGAAGAACACACACACACATTTGTTATATATTGCAGATCCATTCTCAGAGTATTTGTGTGTGTAATGATGTAACACTGATTTGATAATTATCAATATTGACAATTATGAACATTTTTATCCTGATAGGATTTTTGACCATATTGTTCAAATGTGACATTTATGATTCTTGGTGAGTAACTACAATCATCAGATAAATGCAGTGAAGAAAAGATTGCAGTGTTTTTCTCTGAAATATAGCAAAAGACAAGTCGATTACAAAGGTTGCATTAAAATCGACTGATGAGATACTGATTATTGGATATTGGTTCGATACTGACTAAAGAACTGGATCATCATCTTTTAATTTTAATACTGTTTTATAATAAATTATACATGAGAATCCAGTACATTTATATAAATTGTGTGTGTGTGTGTGTGTGTGTGTGTTGTAGCACCTTGACGGGCCTGTGTCGGTTAGGCTGGGTGATGCGCAGGTAGATGAGGCCGGCCACAGACAGGCCCACATAGAGCCAGTAACTGAAGCTGAAGTAGTTGATGAGCTGGAACACGTCCTCCACACACAGAAAGATCAGGCCCATCAACCCCTGGAACCAGAGAGCACAATGAACACAGAGCATACTACAACACCAACCATCATGTGACGACTGTCGATCATCCGAGGAATCTGAGGTTCAGTAAATGTCCCTCACATTGAAGAGCAGCGCAGGTATGGGTGTGTAACGCTCCAGGTGGATCAGACTCAGACTGCTGGGGAGGTGGCCTTCTCTGGCTCCAACGAAAAACAACCTGCATCATCGATAAAGATGAAAAGATGGTCATCATGATGTGATCCTGCGGTCAGTGCCTGGTCAGGCTTTCTTGTTCTTACCTTGAGGCAGCAATGATAGAAGCATTGAGTCCTCCGTAGCAGGACATGGCCACTGACACAGGGATGACCCACTTGAACGGCCCCAGTACTGCATTCCCAAAGGTCTGAGGGATCAGATTCACATGATCTTTTAGGCTCCGGGTTCAACAAAGCCTATTAATACCTCAGAACATTGCGTCATCCACAATTCACTGACAATCCCTGTGAGCTACTAATATCTGCAGATATCTCAGAGCACAAAAACATGTCAGGTCTTACCACAGCAACGGCGTCACTGGCCAGCAGAGATGGCATGTCCAGGACCACGTAGTACGCCACGTTGGTCAACAGGTAGATGATGGTTACGATGGGCATGGAGATGGCAATGGCCAGGGGCAGATTTCTACAACAAGCACAATGTAAAATATTCAGTGATTACCCAGTATTAGACAAGGTCATACTGAGAATAAGCATATAATCAAAGTCACATAATGTTTAGTTGTGTTACTTTTAGATTAGTTTAGTTTATTTCCTTCCTTTCAGTGTTGTCCAAAAACAATACACTTATGCTATACTTTAGAACATTAAGTACAAAACTGTTGAGATAAACCTTTTTGATCACTAAAATGTCAATGTCTTAGTTGCATTATTACAATCTTTTAAATTTTGGGATGTCAACATGTGAGGCAACATTATCCTTTGTAACACGTACAGGAATTTGATAAGGTATTCTAATAGCAATCAAAATGACGTCTTATTTATAATTAAGTCAATAGCTGGTATCCGGTGTTCATGTAAACACAGTGAGGGACGTACTCTGTCAGCTGACTGGTGCTGGGCAGGCAGTTTAGTCATTACTTTTCATTTTACAGCATCAGCTTGTTGTGTGTTACACATGGTTGATGAGTCATGACTGGGTACAGCTGAACCACAGGGTCATGTGATAATTATCAATGGGTTAATCACAAAGAGCAACACCTTTCATATATAAGCAGTCATTTGATCCAATGTCAATAAATAAAGTGCAAACAAATGTTTTATTATTACTGTAATTCTGGGGAAAAACATTCATCATTTACTGAGTTGTAGCTTCTCGTCTCCTGTTNACACACACACACACACACACACACTGATTCTTCCTAAGTTATGTAAGACATGGCCCTTTGCATTTTGGGAGCATCGGTGAGTTTAAAGCGAACAGCACAGTTCTGCTTAAATGTTAGGAGGAGGTCAGTTCATTAGTTATGAATGCTCTGCTCATAAGGAGAGGAGCATTCTCTTTGTTACTTTCCATGCTGCTGGCTCATGAGAGTCACCTTTCGTCTGCATGACGTTCACGTAATTCATAAAAGTTGCACAGGCAAAACAAAGTCAGGAAAAAGCTTTCAGCACAAATGTCGACTGAGGAAACGAAAGTTGTGTCTGCAATCTGCTGCTTTGCTGATTAATTCACTATTAGACGATGAACTCAGCAGCAGATAAAGTGTAGCTGTAATTTCCACATACATGTAATAATCTCAGATATAAAGAACCGCACTAAAAAATGTAAAGTAAACAGAAGTTTAAATTCTCTGCTCGGCTTGAATACAAACGCTCATCTACTTGTTTTGTATGTAATATAACCATGGCTTAACACCACCACATATATAAAGGGGTTAAAAGCAGTTAAACCTTGGAAGGTTGTCACATGTCTATAGTCCTATGATATGTATGTACTGTCATGTTGCTTAACTTTATATGTAACATTTATTCTACTTCATTAAAATGATTAGAGTGGAAAGTAAGGACACAGCGACTCATTTTGTTTGTACCTAACATGGATGGAGATATAAGGAGACATGAAAAAGAGGAAAGTGAGAGGAGGAGTGATCTCTTACTCTTTCACAGAGTAAGACACAGCAGGTGATGGTTTACCTCGGCAGTCTTGAGGAGCGATAGATCCTCCTTTAAGCGTTTCATGAGCTCTTTTCTCAAGTGTTTGGGAGACTGTCCAACTTCCTGTTTGACCTACAGTGTGTGTGCAGAAACTGGTAGATGCTGCATGTACAGTATATAATGAAAATCTAACAAAGCTTGGCCAACAAGAGTAGAGGACATGCACGGCCCGATTTCAAAGGAGAGATTCTGTATTCACCCACCGACTGATTTCAAGTCAGCATGCTGAAATCCAACGTCCTTGCGAGCGAGGTTTCAGTCGTTTGATTAGTAGTTTTTCAGAGCGCACCAGAAGTGTCAGTTTGAACTGCTCGAGTTGGAATCATTTTAAGAGGAAGTCAGGAGAAAGATTTGACGAGTACGAGGCAGAAGATGTTAGTCTCATAAACAGCTCTAATGCATTACTTTGCATTTGATTAAGTCCCACAGCCATCAGGATAATGTCTGACTCCTAGAATTAAAAAATCAGAGTAACTGAGTAGGAATCATCTGATGACTACAAGGTGAATATTTCACAGTGCTGACATTTGGACCTTTACCAGGCTCTCAAGTTATAACTGAATCAAAATAAGACCTAATATTAAAAATGCTTCAAATCTCCATACCTATTCATGACTAAGGCTTCAACTAGGAATTATCTTTATTGTTATTAATCTGTAGATTATATTCTTACAGCTCAGGATGGCATCTTCAAGTTGTGTGTTTTGTTATCAATATACTGCAACTCAAAAATAAACAGTCAAAGATACGCAGAAGCTGAAACAAGGCAAATTTGGAAATGTTGCTTTAAATAACAGATAATCAAAATGTTGATTTATTCATGGATTAATCGTTGCAGCTCTTTAAAAGACTTTTCCATATCAGTTACTCTGATGTAAGGATTATTCTATTTTTCCCAAATGAGCCCAACACCACTTAGAAAAAATCTTCAAAGATTCTTGGCCAAAGCCTCCTCACACACTCATACAGGAAACATGGTTAGTTAACAAATACAGTGACAAACAAAATACAACATTGGAAAAACTAAACATTTTATCAATGAAAGGCAACAGCTCATATTTTTGCAGCTGAACCACAACAAAGTTAAAAGCAGAAGCGACCAGTTGAAGCCAACCTACAAAAACATCATATATTTCAATACACTGAAGAAAAATATTCTGAGAAAGCACAACCAGCGCCAGGTTCACATAATGCACAACAGATGCCAAATGGACCAACTGCTGTAGAAGAGCCAAGTAAAGCCAAACACACAAACTGCAAGCACACCCAGGACATCCTACAAAGCACTAAAGGATGCTAGTGGGAGGATTGATTCTCCGAAAATTTAAAAATAAAAAATTAAAGCAATTAAATTCTTATATATATTTAACAATATCCCTACCTGGTCGTGTCAATAAATATCTAAATATAAGAATATTCAAAAAAGAATTAAGGAAAAAAGGAAAACAAAGATAAAGAAAATAACTGCACATTCATATCCACTGACCAAACACACTCATTTATACATACAGAGGTAGACAGTTGGTTGAAGAGAATATGAAAACACGTATGCATACAGTCCGTTATGTGAAGAGACTGTCAGAGTGTTGTCATTCTGTAGGGAGGAGTGCAGTGGCAGTGGTTTGGAGGCGTTCATCTGTAAAATGTAAAATGTTTCCAAAGGCTGGAGTGCGTGTTTACATGCCTTGGAATGCTTCTTCCTTGAGTCTGTCCTCATTACCTCTCTGGATTCTGAATTTCCTCAGTCACAAAGTTAAGTGTGTCCCATCCAGAGTAGGAGAACAGAGCCGAGTAGAGGGCCAAAGCTATGGCTCCGGGATCCGTGGTGGAGCCCTCAAACGGATTCTCAAAGCTTTTTGTTTCTCCTTCACAAAATGAGAAGTGAGAGTTTAAAACACATTTGTTTATTTGATTGTGTTTCCTCTGATGGATTCTTGAATGTATTCATACTTACCAATGGATAGTTTCAGGATTCCTACAATGATGATGAGGATGAGTGCCGAGAGTTTGGCATAAGTGAAGATATCCTGGATCAGAGTCCCCCACTTCACATAGGCACAGTTGACAAAAATGAGCATACCTGAACAAAGCATAGGAATAAAGTGACAAATGAATCTTGCTCTATATGAGAGCTGAGAGCATCAACAAGGCCTAGCACAGCATCAAGTCAATCAATCAAATTTTATTTGCATAGCCCATTTTCACAATTTTTCTACTAGGGCTTAACAAGGTGTGACATCCTCTGTTCTTAACTCTCTGAAATAAACCACCAAAAAACCCTTTAACAGGGGAAAAAACATAGAAACCTCAGAGAGCCACATGTGAGTTATCCTTCTGCCAGGACGGACAGAAGTGCAATAGATGCTGCATGTAACTGAGAACATCAGCAAAAAAACAATATTTATTGAAATGTATTTCCAATATAATGGAAAAGTGTGTCTATGTTTAAAATATTTGTGCAGAAATACAACCTCTGCAGTGTTATGAGGTTGCATTTGCCCAGCAGGTAAAGACGAACCACTCAAGAAACAACAACAAACCCTGCATGTCAGTTGGTGAAACTCATTTTAAAACAAGTTGCAGACGTTTGCTCTCTGATCACCAAAGCAGATCACTGATCATCTCATCTGTGTCTCAAGGGCCTCAGTCTGAGCACCTCATGAATCATTACAGAGCTGCTCTCTCACCTAAATACCAGTTCTGCTGCTAAATACATTCTTCTCAGTACAAAGCCCTGCTTGGGAACCACAGTGTTATTTTTAAAGGACTGATGGTCCAACTATAGCTGGGGCCAGTCCCACAGAGGGTTACTGAGTTTAACCCTGGATCAATGGACATGTTACTGTTCAGATTGTTTCCTTTGACTGCTTCAAAATAAAAGCCATCACATGTTTTACCATCTGAAAGATTTTAATGTGAAGTAGCAGCAGCAGGAAATGTTGGGTTTGTATTTGCAGTAAATTAATTCATCTAATGCTCAGTTTAGACAGTGAATAAATACTTAAGGCTGACACCAGTAAGATAATATTCAAAATAGTAAACCTGGAAAAAGTACCTGATTCAAATCCACCTTAAGAAAGAATAAATCAACAATGGAAATTACCATACAGGCAATTTTTGAATATGCATTTTTTTTATCACAACCATTAACAAAAATAGTATTTTCATTAAAGTGACTCTACTGGCTGTATTTTTGTGTAACAAGCTGAAACAATGGCCCTGAAACTAGAACGAGAAAGCTATTTAAAGACACATTACCATCCATTGACTTCCTGCAATCTGCCTTGAATGTTTAGTCCCATTTAACTCAACTTCAATTAGTATTAATTACAGATAAATCAACATTCATAAAATCTTCCACAGATCTTACTCCTAGAAATGGATATATTATTATTGCTCAGAACTGATCAGACCTATTACACATTGAAACCCTGTTTCCAGTTCAAATTTACAAATTTCAGGAAGAAATCCTGTTTCTCCCTCCAGGTAAAGAAAAACATGATCTTGACAACTTCTTGAGAGAATTAAATCTAAATGAGACGTGCACCTGGTTAATTAAAGGTTATATGAACTACTTTGGGTTTTTTTCTATTTTGTACGGAGAAATGTATTATCTCTTTTCCTAGGTAATGAATTAAATGCTGAATTTTGTCACACACTCATTCAGACTCACGAGTGTTTCTTACAGAGGCAGGCTGCTGCTATGAGGCGGACAGCATCGTACGGCGGCTGGCAGGTTGGGTAGAAAGCCTCCACCAGGTAGTTGGCGAAGGTGAGTGAAATCACGGCCTGGCTGGCAGGTTCGATCAGCAGGATGGACGTCCACAGGCGGATGAAGGCCGGGAAGCTGCCAAAAGACTCCAGGATGTAGGCGTAGCTGGCTCCAGACTTGGTGATGGTGGTGCCGAGCTCTGCGTAGCACAGAGCCCCGAACACTGAGAAGATACCTCCGAGGGCCCAGATCAGTAGCGATAGCCCGTAGGAGGCGCTGTGCATGAGCACACCTTTAGGTGAGATAAAGATTCCAGAGCCGATCATGTTGCCCACAATGAGGCAGATCCCGTTGACGAGAGAGATTTCTCTCCTCATGTACATCTTCTCTTCTTTGCCTCCATTTGGGGCCTTTAAGTCCTCATCGGATGAAGCCCGTGAACTTGGGCATATTGTCTGTGACATGACCCCGAACTTCTGCCTCAGATCCCCCATCAGTGCTGCACTGCTGATATGGAGATGATGGAGTAAGAATTAAAGAATTTTTCAATTTAACAGTGAAATGACAAAGTTTGTTCAAGTCCAAAAACTCCAGGCTTAAACACAGGAGCTGAACACGATCCTGTCAATGTCCAGTAAACAAGAAAAGGTCACACATGCTCAAATCTCTGAGGATCACTGTGTACTAATCCATGAAATAAAAGCTCAATGTATAACAATGTGACTTTACCTTATTTTGGGGAAATTCTAAAGGTGTATTTCTCCTCCTGTGGTGTATGTAGTGTCTGCTCCTCCAACCCTGGCAGTGAGAATTGTGAGATCATATCGTAGGGATAGCAATTGAACGGTCGATGTTGCAATCCCTGCAGCCAGACACATCCCCAGCGAGTGTTTTTCCAGGACCAGGCGGGCGAGCAGCACTCTCGTGTTCCCCTCTGTGCTATTTTCAGAGATGAGCAGGCCTCGTCCCAGCCCCCAGGAACAGCAGAGACACAGGGAGCAAAGCTGCTTCTGGGTCAACAGGAAAGAGGTCTGGAGATTGTTTGATATTCTGACATGCGCTGTCATTAAGGAGTAATCTAAATACACAGTGGTTTACAAAGCACCTGCTTCTCCGTCAGTCACTGGGACAGGCTGCTACAGGCCTGTCTCACAGCGGACAGTATCAGTGTTGCTGATTACTATGACTCCATTCAGTTCAAGAGTCCCAGTGAGACATGCCAATGACAGAGAGGCAGCACCAAAATACCAGCGAACTGAAGCAGAAGCAGCTCAATGGACATTCATTGAATTATCTTCACCTTTTATTTGGTGTTGATTTGTATTTGTTTTGCATCTTAAGGGTCATTTTTCTGGAATTTGGCATCTTTGAGGTTTGTTTTGTGTTTCCTGGGCGTTGGTTTGCTTCTCTTTGTCCTTTTTGTGTCTTTTTGGTCATTTTGTGACTTGTGGTCAATGTGTTTTGTTTAGTTCTTAAGAGTTTCTTGTCTGTGGTCATTGTGCAGGTCCTTCATAGTACATTTTAATCTTTTTGAGGTTGTCTTGCGTCTCTAGGTGGACCCCTCTGTTATGGTTACATTTGGTCCCAGGTAAGCCCGCTCAGTATTTCATGGTTGTATAACTGGCAACTGTAAGACAAAACTGTTTTATTTCTTTTTCTCAAAATGTTTTATGCTCCCACCTCCATCCTCTTTGCTTTTTTCCTGATAACAAGCTCTTTGTTGAGACAAATTAGTTAACATGACTGTATGATGCAGACAGTAATATCATGTTAGCAGAGGTGTTGAATGGACTGACCAGATGGGTCATGACAGATTGGAGAACACTGTAAATGACTCTGTCCAGACCTGGCTCCATGTAGTGTTATGAAACACAGACCATCAAATGGAATTTTACTGCCTTGTTGTAATATAATTCCACTGAGCAGTAAAAAAAAAACCTCAGTCATAAGTATTCTTCCACACATCTCATTCTTTGTATCTTTGTGCAGATGATAACATTATATAACTGCTGTGTTGCAACCTGGGACACTCACCCCGTTGAGTGGGCACCACATGAACGGAGGCTCACAGCTGCAGATTTGGTTTCGACCGAGCCCTTCGCTCTATGTCACCCCGCTCACTCTACCCCTTTAAAACTCCGTCCTGTTGAATGATGGCTCGAGACAAAGAAAATATCATTTCAAGAAAAGTGTTTTGCTAATAACCTATATATGACGTTTGGATTAATGTTACACACAAAGAAATCAAGAGGAAAGACGATGACAGCAAGCAGAAGTAAAAACAGAATACCAATTTTATTGATGAGTTTGATGCAGTATATGAAAAACCTGACTTTCTGTTGAAACCACAGCTTCACATCAGCCAAAATTGAATTAAATAATAATAACATCACAGTTTGATGAACTGTCACCGATAGTTGACACTAAACCATGTCCTAAATGATGGGCTGCTGTTTTGCACAATTCGACAGACATCAGATTAAAAAAATTTTTAACAATAGATCACAGATGAAAATATTTATAAAAACATAAAACTATCATCTACAGTACAAAATATGTTACAACATATCTAGGCTATCAAATGTGTAGTATTTGTTCTCTTAATTTGATATGTTTGTAAAAGGCCGTTACATATTACTATAGATGCGACCAAAAGCAGAACATGAGGCACAGTTATCAAACATGAGGTGACACTAGTCCCATATTATGGAAGTATATTGAGCTCCTTGGACTTCCTGTTGGCAGTTAAATGAGGGTAGTCATAGTGGAAAATTTTTTGTAACAGAGTCAGAGAACGACCTGCTGTGACTCATTTCTCACTGTGTTTTTCCACATTGCAGTTATTACTGAACTGATATTTACCTTGGACTTAATGACGGGGAACACAACTTAATGCTCAATGATGAAGTGCATTTTCTCATAGAAATTGGAACAAAAGGTTATTCTGTGATGAATTTATGGATATTAGAGATACTACCACAGTTACAATACTGTTCTCTAAGCACCAATTTAAATAAGTGAAAGAACTGATGAAGACACAAAGGCTATTCATGAAAAAACAATTTACATTCACACAAGAGCTGAAACAATTAGTCGATCGACATAAATCAATAGTTTTTTCACTCCAATGTCATTTGGCACAAATAATTATATTGGTTAGACGTTTGAATGAAGTGATATGTGGAGCTAACAAACAGGTTTAAAAATCATATTTATTAAGATGCACTATTCCAACTGTTTAAATGTAAGTGCGACATTGAACTGTTTTCTGATTGTTTTAAAGAAACATTACTACCGTCATTTTGAGCAGATTAGGCAGCACAGAGTAACAAAAGTGACTGAATCTACAAGCACAGCAGGTTTGTTTTTCTGCTTGTGTTCTGCACTTGTATCAGCTCAGTTGGATAAAAAAAACTTCTAACCTCAGCAGAGAGCGAATGGAAGAACTGTGACTCCTGTATCCACGAGGCTCAAGTGTTCAAATTGAATATTATTGAATTATTGTAAATACTTCGAGGAGAGGCCACTTTTCAGAAAATAAACCAATCATAAGGTCGATTATTTTGTAAGTACACACATGCAGACACACATCCCCCTCATTGTGGGTTTGATGTTACAATCTCAGCTTCCTCTTTACTAATTGTCCCAGCCACTATTTTTAATGTTAACAGTAAAAAGGGAAAAAAAAACAGCTTTCCATCAGTCACATGAACACATTCCAACAAAACAGATCATTCCTATGTTTCACTGAATAACGAGAAGCTGTTGACGTTCAAGAACACCTAGCCATCAACAGCTCTGAAGTATTTCGGACTGCATTTTGCGGGTGTTTCTAACAAACACTCTCTCTGAGCAGTAAATCAGTGGTCACAACTACATGATAGTTTAAGATAAGATTGCTACAATTGGAATTAATGTTGTTTTTGCTGCAGGTTTTCCAGCATATTAACAGTCCTCCCGTCATTTACTCAGATCAACTGAGATTACCAAGAATATTTGTGTTCAACACATACGCACACATAAAAATTTGAGGCTACATAATCAATGGTAATTGAGAGGAGAGACATCCCATCATATATCCAGTCATTATGAAAAGACTATAAATAAATCACCTCTGTAAATCCACAGCGTTGTAAAATAAAAATCACTGATTCAGTTTAAATCTTTTGATTCTGATAAAACAGAATCCAGTCCATCTCTGGTTGAAGTGGAAATTACATTTCAAAACAACCTGTTTTGAAATGTAATTTCCTTTTCCTCAACCGGCTGTTCCTCAGTCTTCTTAGGGAATAGTGGTGAACATGGTTCAGAACATGGTTCAGAACATGGTGGTTCAGAACATGGTGGTTCAGAACATGGTGGTTCAGAACATGGTGGTTCAGAACATGGCGGTTCAGAACATGGTGGTTCAGAACATGGTTCAGGGTGATGACAGCAGTACCACTGAGAGTCAACTGTAGTATGACTCTCGTGTGAGACTTGTCTCTGCTGCTTGGCTCTGACAGCTGCTAAATGTTCCTTCTGTAGGGTATGGACATTGGCGGCGCACTGGGGACGAGGGCGGTGGTCTGGGAGCTGATTTCAGGCGGATACGGCTGCAGGCCCATCTGCTTGTTGTCGTGCAGCTTGCGGACAATGATGCGACAGAAGTCTTCATTGTGCCGGTGACAGTTGTCCAGGAGCTGGCGGACCTTGGCTGTGCGTGTGGGCTGGTTTTTCACGAGTTCATAATCTTCTTGCATCAGCATGGAGCGGGACAACAGGGCGTCCAAGCACTGGTTCAAACAGGCCTCTGTCATCTGGGAGACGATCTCCTCACGCTTAGTCGCAATCCACTGAGTGATGGGGCCTAGTGAGGTCGGAGAGTGCTGCGGTGTAGGAAAGTGATCTGCTGCTAAGGAGGAGAAAGAAGTACGATTCATGTTTTAGTGGTAAAATATGATCAAACAATAAAAACAATGTGTCATATTGGTATTATTGCCTGTGGGATTAAGTCAAGTCTAATTTATTTACATAGTACAATTCTCATACTTATTTTACAATCTATAAATAATGTATGACAGCCTCTCTTCTCATGCCACTATTAAGAAATAAACCTCTAAAGGAAACAGGGGCAAAAGAAAGAAACTCCTACCCTATAGCCATCTGTTTGCTAAGGTGGGCATACACTGTGCAAATTTAGAACAGTTTTTTCTATTTTGCAGAAAGAAAGAAAACTATGTTTTAGACTAGTATACTGTAAATAGTTCACTAGCTACTCTCTGATTACACTTTTGTAAGAACCCCTTTACCTCCATCTTTTTCTTTCTGGCTGTGCAATTGCTTCATGCCATTAACTACATTTTCTACAATTGTGTTTTGCCATTCACGCAGAGGCAGTGAGGATTTTGGCTTCAACTCTACAAGAGCTTGATGAGGGTGGACCAAAGTTTCTGACATGTCAGAAATGTATCCGACAACTGAAAATTGGTAAGACTTTAACATGAGTTGCACAACTCAGAAATTGGGTCAAAATCTGGCTCAAATCGCAAATTGTATGTCCAGTTTTACCGTTTTGTGCAATCACACAGTCGACATACATCTTCGTTAGATTTTGTTTTGAGGTAATTAGCCATTGTAATAACAGGGCTCACCTCCCTATACCCAGATGTTCAACCAAAACAAGCCTTCATCCTCCAACACTATTTATCAGGGTCACTGTTACTGCATCCCTGTTTTAGATTAGTTCGGAGATTAGGATTAGGAGATTATTTAGCCTACTTACCTACATAAGGAAATACAAACAAGCTAGAGAGAATGATAATGGGTGCAACCAGATCATTCTCCAGGGTTGACCCAGCACAGTGGAGGTAACTTTAACTGCTTGTACCTTGTTGCTGTGGCTGTGGCTTGAGGGTAAGGTCGTCCAGTTGAGTTTCACACTCTGTAATCGGCAGGCCGGGTTTGATGGGAATATTCAAATCATTCAGGGTCCTGGCAGTCTGGTAGGTATTGAGGTTGTTTACTTGGGAGCTGTCCTTCAGAGACTCTGGAGGCTCCAGCGTGTGAGCGAGGAATGACGATCGAAGGTTATCTGCATAAGAAATAGCAAAGGCAGAGGTGTGATGTACCCAGGAGATGAATGAAGCTCCTATTGTCAACAGATGTTGCATAAAATGTTACATTTGGAATCGTCTGAGCTGCTCCTGTGTTGTTTATGGAAAACCATCCTCCTAAATGTTGTACATTAGTACAGATAGTCACAGCAGCTTAACTACATAATCAAAAAATATGCTGATTGAAACATATGTTTAAACATAACACACATGTAATGTTGTCATTACCTTTAGACTCTGCAGTACTGTTGCTGGTGAGAGCACCTGGTAGAGATATGTCTGTGTCCTGAGATGAACAGGAGCCGGAGCCGGAGCCTGAGCCGGAGCCTGAGCCTGAGCTCTCCTGTGACAGATCAGCCACTGATATTTAAATTCCACACACACATTAATAAACACAAAATTTACACTTTAATTTTGAGATTTCTACAGTCATATTAGTTTAACAGCCCATTGTATGTACTCCTCACAGCATATGCTGAACATAGGTAAGAATTAGTGGTTACTGACTGGCCAGGGGCCGGGCCTGCTCTTCAGCGTGGACAGGGATCCCTCCTCACTCCTCTTCTCACACACTGACTGAGCCGAACAGCAGCCTGACCTCTGCCTTAACTGTGGAGTGAGTAAGAGGGGAATAAGAGAATGAGTCAAACTGACAGTGTGCAACGATCAAATGTGAATAATGTGCTAAACTGTATAAACCAGAATCAGGACTAAAATATATATATATCTACATTGTGAGATACAATGTTTTTCAACATTTTCATTGATTTCCCAGACAACACATGACCCATTTTCAAATAAACTATTGAACCTCAAACACTTCCCCTTTTTTCTTTCTCGTTCCTTTCAACCTCAGAACTTCATCAAACTTCAACCTACAAATAATAGTTTTCTTTAAACATCTTTTAACTGGAGACACAGACACACACACACACACACAAACACACAAACACACAAACCAAAACCGAAAAGAGGAAGGATATGTAATTTTTGACCTGTCCCCTTCTCTTAAAACATAGCAATCTGCCCTAGATTACACACCAGTTAATTTCAAGTTTTTATTCATGCAAACACATTGGATATCTAGCTTTAGTTTGCTGCTGCATGTGTTTTTGTAATGGGACATTCCCTTAACTTAAATTTAGTCACACTCATATTAGCCAATACCATTGAGACACGACAGAAGAGGAAACAAGTCTTTTTTTTTTTAAATAACCTACCACACATGTTCCGTTTCACACTAAGTCACACACATTTACAGCAAATGTGCATTTAGTTTAAATTTTATGACTTTTGTTTTTTTGTTAATTCAAATTCCATATATTTGGTTGTATTTGTATTTCGTTTTTAATTAATAATTTAATTTAAGGTTAATCTATAAAATATCAAGCCTCAATTACATTTTGACAACAACATCTATCAATTAAAAAAAACCAAATTATTATATGTATATATCGATTTATCAGACATTTATATGCTCTAATATACAATAAATAACAGAATTCAGTTGGGCTGTACTTTTAATATAATGCCCATCTTTCTAATTACATTAGCTACATTACCAATGTCCCCATTCTGTTTGTTTTCAAACTAAACTCCACTCTCCACACTCACGTATCCATCATCTTCCATTAGCTACACCACAGTGAATCAGACAGCCTAAGTGTTGACAATGAACCACAGTGTCCCCAGCTTGATTGTTGCTTTTGGTTGTAGACTGTCAGCTCTCTAGTACAGGCATTAAACACCTTCAAAAAAGATTGCGACTGACCTTTGACCTCTGGATCTGCAGCACGGCTTCTAAGAAGTCGATTTCGTCAAAGTTTCTTACCATGGGCTCCAGCTCAATCAAACACTCTGTGGTGAAAAATAAAGCTCTGTTAGCTGGGGGAGAGGTCAGAAACCTGATACTTCACTTTTCTTTAGGCTACTTTTATTGATAGAAAGCCGTATAGTCATCAAACCATTTTGTAAAACAACTGTAAGTTCATAAATCTGCAGCATGTTCTGATTATCATGCAGCTCATAAAAAGGAGTTGGTTTGGTTCTGGACTTAATATGAATACCTGCAGTTTGAACAAATGCTGGGAGAGAACTTCATGTGACAGGAAGCTGATTATTAGTCAGAACTTCGTCAGGGTAAAATTCTTCACTAGAGGGATAGGTCTGTTACTCAACATGAACAGACTTCCAAAACTGTGAAAATCGTGTTCACAGAGAACAGCAACTAATAAATATGAAGAGTGGAAGGAAGAAACTACGGCTAACTGGCTAACAGTGTGTGTTTCCTTCATCAACTGTAATTTGCCCTGGAAACTACTACAAAGACAGGGCAAAAGCACAGATAAAACAAAAGTAAAAGCCTCAAATAAATTTTCTCTGGGTTTCAACATTGTTGGAAACATATTGGATAATGCAAGTACACAAGTCAATAAAATATATATTTAGTTATTTAAAACAATTGTAATGAAGAATTGTTACGTATTATATCTTTAATGATGAATTTGCAATATTCTGCCAGAAATGAGTTCCAGTTGCCTGAACTTACTCAGGAAGGACGGTCGTTCGTCAGGGTTGCTGGTCCAGCCGCAGGTCATTAAACTGATGAGGGTCCCTCTGCTGGGGATGCCAGCGGGCAGGCTGTCTAGACTTGTATCTGGACGCATACCACGCAGCACACTAAACATGATCTGCATTGGGTTTGTCACTTCTGAACACACATAAAGTAAACTTCATAAGAGGGTGACAAATCAAACATGGATATATAAAATAATTTGAAAACAAAAAACCTCAAGTGTGATTTAATAAAAATGTGTTACCCTCGAATGGTATCTGCCGAGACAACACCTCCCACATGATGATGGCATAGCTGTAATGTAAAAATCAAGAGACAGTCAGGGAAAATCAGGGTTGTGTCGTATGAATACTGGTTTTCCCCTTCAGATGTGAGGGATTTTACAATGAGCTAATGAGAAAGGCTGCTTTGAAGAAGAGTGGTGACTGACTGAGCTGTTGCACGGTTCAAATGGGTCTTTTAATGAATCTACTTTTCATCTCCCTCCCACCTCCCAATTTAACCAGCTGATTGTGCAATCGACCAATTTAGCCTTTGGCAGATGTCACTGCATTGTTGTGTTTTGATAAGCAAAGAATCCAATCCAATGTTTGGCACATCATCTCACCGTTCCAAGCAGGAAAATGTTTGACAAATATTTACTCTATTGAAAAAAAGTTTTCAAGAGCTCAATTTTCAAATTTTTAACATTTGAACATCTTGTACATCAAACATTTTTAAATAAAACTAATGATATGGATGTCAATAACCAGATTCAGGGAGAAATTATTGTTGTCCATTCTAATTTCCAATCTTTTTCTAATCACGCGTTATTGGGATTTGTTGTGTCACCTGTACATGTCATGTTTCACATCGGCACGGCGGCTCTTGGATGGTTCGTACTTCTCTGGGGGCATGTAGATTACTGTGCCACCCATCTCTGTGGGCTTGGACCCTGAGCCTTTACTGACAGAGAGCTGGCGCCATTTTGAAAGGCCAAAGTCTGCAATCTGGACAGAACAATTGCAGAAAGTTACCACATATATCACTTTTACAAGACATGTTTTAACATTGCTTTTATTTGAATCAGCACTTTTTCTGCAAGGTGCATGTGGGCTTCAGTTATTAAAAAATAGGTCCGCCACTAAGAATTTCTTTCATCTTACTACCAAATCTAGAAATCTCTGTCTGTCCTTGAGCCTTAAAACAGAAAAATGTGGGGCTTTTGTTTCACTCAAATAATAACCAGAACCATTTCTGTTGATTGACTAATCAATCGAGTGAGTCAGTTCTAATCAGAGTTTTTAAACACAATCTAAAGAAGTCCAAAACCAAATGAAATGGGACTTACATGACAGAACCATGAAACTTAATCCAAACTAAAACACTATTTACTTTGTTCTATCATGTTTGGTCACTCATTTATCCAGTTGCTGAATAAATTACTTCATAAAACATTGACAAACTCAAGGTTAAGGTCCTTAAATATCATTTCTTTACAATTAAATCTTTCCTGAAGCAAAACTAAGGAAATTGTTATGCAGTTAAACATGAATTGTGATCACAGGAGCAATTAAAATGAAGCCATCCTTTGCCTCTGAATGTTGTTGTAGTTAACTCACACACACCTTGACATGAAATTCACCATCCAGCAGTATGTTCTGCGTCTTTAAGTCATGATGTAGGAGGGGTGGGTTCATGTTGTGAAGGAAGTTAACCCCAAGTGCGATTTCATACAGGATCCTCAGTCGTAAAGGCCAGGCGAGATCAGGGTATGTGTCTTTCTGTAGGGAAACACAACAGAGCAGATATAAAACAACAAAAAATCGATCCCCCTCATTAATCTACAATTTTTTGCAGATTTGTCCAAAACAAAATATGAGAACATCACATATGTTTTCGGACACTTAAAAGCTCTCCCCCTACTTCTCTTTGAGGTGTTTCTCTACCATGATTTTGTCAGCTTGAACATTATTTGGAAATGTACACATCTGTCTGTATAGTGTCACACAGATGATATATCAGAGCAAAACTCCAAGCCATAAAGTCAAAGGAAGTGGCAGCAGAGCTCAGAGACAGGATTGTATCAAGCACAGATCATTTAAGTTACCCAAGAGCCAGAGCGGGCTCCAATATTCTAAAATGGGGAAGAGATGTCGAGACTAGCCACCCTGACTAACTACTCAATCGGTGAAGAAGGGCCTTGGTAAGAAGAAGAAGATATACTTTTATTGTCACGTTTAAGAGAAGTGACCAACAACTCTGTGGTCACTCTGGTTAGCCCCAGGGATCTTGTGTGGAAATGAGTGTTCAGACAAAAACATCTCATTAGTGAAAGTAAAAATTATATTAAAAATGCTCCATAATGAAGGGTGTGGTCCTAAATTCTTCTTTATGGGCAGAGAATAACAAACACTTGTTACACAGAAAATATTTTCTCAGTCTGAGGTAGATCAATTGTGTGCTATACCTCATCACTGTGTTTGTACGATGCATAAACATTACATCGATAAATAATAAACCTATTGCATATTGCTATTGATATCAATTACATTGAGAAAATAATCGATATTGTTGTATTGCCCCTCCCTTAGTTAATGGAATTTCAGATTGAGAAACAATATTTTCTGGGCTGATGAAACAAAGATGACACTCAGAATGTTCACTACAACACATGGGAATTTCCCTTAACTAGGTCTGCTCTCTTCACATTTATTCCCCTGTTAGTAAGAGACTGTAAGTAAATGAGGTTTCACTTTTGCTTGCTATTTCACAAGCAGGAAAGCTACATCATTCATGTTCACGATGAGTGAGATATACAGTAAAAGAGACAGAGAGATATAGTTTGCCAAAAGCAACAAAGAGTCTCTCTCTTCAGACGTTCAAGAAACAAATGTGGAAAGACAAGAACTGTCAGTGTCTCAATGTTTAACACTGCAAGGAAGATCACACCACTGTTTGCTTGTGACATGTTACATATTTGTTCTTCTTTACTGAATGAAAGAGGAAGCCGTGATGGTCTCAGACTTGGGGTGCATATAGTTACCTCGTGGAGCAGCTGGTCCAGAGAACCATTGCTCATGAACTCTGTGACTATGCAGAAGAACTCCGGCTCGTTGCAGATGCCAAAGATCTGGATGATGTAGTTGAATCTGGCTTTGTGGAGCACCTCGGCCTCCTTCAGCAGGCAGTTCCTCTCTCTGAGACATAGCCAGCGATAGAGTCAGTCAAGTGAGGAAAATATCAAAACAGTGATGACGTGTAGTGTTGTGGATAAAGAGGTATGCTTGGGGAAATCATTATCACAATATTAAGCTGGATACTTGACCTCTATCCTACTCCCATGTAAAGCAAGAGGCCAAACTATTTATATGTAAAACACTTTCAATTTGTTAGTGTGAACAGGTTGTGCTCCATTACTTGGTCTATGTAAATGAGTAAGATTATAATATTATTGAATCATATATCACACTGTGCTCTCATTGAAATTCAGCAAATAGTCATACAGAGTTATTTCCCTGTCATTCCCTGTCTTAACATTACCTCACAATGGAATACGGGATGTGGTGCTCCTTTAAATATTGTTTAGATGTAAATGAGTTTCTCTTGAACCAGGAGTACAGCAGACTGTTAATGTGATCTAAATATAAAACCCTGCAGCTCGTCCAAAGAGGAACTCCTCCGCCTAGAGCAAGTTAACTATCACCTGAGCTGCAGGAATGAGGAATGAAGTGATGTCAACTGGATTCTAACCTAGGGCTGGGAGATATGCCAAAAAGTATATCAAGATTAATATTTTCCCACAGTCGATATCGATCACTTTCACAATAAATGTCACATTATGAATCATTTTATGTTTAAAGACTGGTTTTCGCGCCACAGCTAGGGTTGTGGTTCTAAACTTTTCTTTGTGAAGGTTACAACCACAACCTTCACAAAATCAGGCTTTAAACTACAAATAATATGATGAATAATATATGAGATTCATCATTATAATTATCGATGTAGACTGATATTGAAAATATTTATCTTATTTGATCTTAATCTGTGAACACGTTTAAATATACCGGTCTAAACTAACACGAGCCCACAGTCTGTGCCTGTACAGTTGATTTCTTGTAAATGTTACAGTAACAGCAGAGCCTAAGTTTCTGGTAAAGTGTGTAACGCATTTAAATGATCATTTCCTTCCTTTCATTGTACAGTGGCCTCTACGGTCTCTTGAGCTCTACGATCTCGATGCAGGTACCTTTCTCCTACAGGAGAGTCGAGCTTCAGGCACTTGATGGCCACGGTGGTCCTCCAGTCCGAGTGCTGAGCCTTGAACACGGTGCCGAAGCCCCCTCTGCTCAGGTAGTACAGGTCCGTCAGTTTCTGGTAGGGGATCACGGGCAAGGTGCTGGTCAGACTGCCCATGTTCACGCAGCCCACCGCTGCGGCGTGAGGCTCCATGGCAACTGGTGAATATGTGGAAGTGTGTGAAGCCTTAATCCTCCGCCGGGTCCGCCACTGAGAGCAGAAGTGCCTCTTTAGCTGGACGCAAAGAGGAAGAGCGCTTCCATTCACACGCGCGTCATAACGTCACGGAGAGCTAGCAGGCTAAGCTAACGGCAGTGTGGCGGAGGAGGGCGGCTACATAGAGAGAACGCATCCGATGGCAGAGGAACCAGTTTACTGACGAGAACCGAAGAGCACCCAACGAACCGGAGTTAGATATGTTTTCGTACCCGTGTGTTGCGGTGGTGTGTCGGTGCTTCCTGTTAGCCGCTGTCAGCCACTGACAACAACACGGCGCGCGCGTCTGAGCCAGGTGGTTTGTTGTTGCTAATGACGACATGCTTCCGGGGTTTTACCTGCCGCGTTCACGGCCGCAGGTTTTAACACCTTCAGACGGTTGAACTAGTTTTATTTTATTTCAGGGTTGCTTTCTTAACACTTCACCGTAAATACACACACAAAAGATAAGTCCGAACCTATTTTCAGCGAGGGTTTCAATCATAGACTGTATGGTTTCAATGCAGCAGTTTAGTTTCAGTTTGTCCACAGCAGAGACACACACATCCTGAGAGCCTGAACGCATCTTTTATTATGGGTTTTTTGACAGGATGGAGTTTCCCACGAGGGACTTTTCTGACGGGGAAACGTCTGATCCTGAAAGAGTGTGAAACCCTAACAACACGTGTTCGTTTTAATCTGTTAAAACATTTCTGAAACAAGACATTTTTTAAGTCATTATGAGGTGGAAAACTCACATTCTCATTTTAGGGAATAATGGGAATAATGTTCAATACCTTTATTCACCCACAATCCCTTCTCACATTGTTAGGGACCTGTTGTTTTCACTACAACCCTCAATTCAAGACGAATAGAAAACTGCATAAAAATAAAAAAAAACTTAGATTTATATAGCCCATCGACAACTTTTACCATTATTACTATTATTAATTACAATATCTCAGTAATTCATTATTGTATGAATTGTGCATGTTATCAATAATAATTAATAGTCTTTACACTGTTGTTTCCATTTTAACTAGTCAGATCTGATACCTGATGGTGCTCAAGTGTTCCTGGTCTTTCTCGCCTCTCTCTCTCCCCTACTTCCTCCTCCCCACTATCKCTCTCTCTTCTCTCCCCTCTTTTCCACCCATCTCTCCTCTCCTCCCCCCTTTTTCTTTGCTCACCCCAACCGCTCAAGGCAGATGACCGCCCACATTGAGCCTGGTTCTGCCAGAGGTTTCTTCCTGTTAATGAGGGAATTGTTCCTCTCAACAGTCGCCAAAGTGCTTGCTAATTGTGGGAACTGTTGGGTTTCTCTATATTTAATAAGATTTTAAGGTCTTGACCTTCTATGTAAAGTGCCTTGAGATAATGTATATTATGATTTGGTGCTATACATATGAAATTGAATTGAAAATTGAATTGAATAGCGCCTTTCGGGACACCCAAGGACACTTTACAATAACCACAATAGAAAACACCAACAGTAGCCTCAGTGAAGGTGTGCACACCACACGATGCACAGCTTTATTCTTACATAAGAGCTCAAACTCGAGCAATCAGGCTCAATAACTAAACTAAAGTTTTTCAATACGCTATTTAACTTAACCAATGCTCAAGTGATTGTATATAACAGCTGTATAGTTCCTTCAAAATGAATTTGTATTGCATCATAGAGCTTCAATCTCATCCTCACATGTGACTCCGCCAAGTTTCTGGAGAGCTCAGATATGGCCAAATGGAGATGGATCCAAATAAACACATATATCATTATAGTTTGCAAAGACCAAATGTGATGTTTTTCCAGCAGGAGGCAGCAATGCGCTTCCCGTTGGTAATTAATTTAAAGGAGGGCTTCCATTTAACTTGCAAAGTTCATGCTACTAAATCTGCTTGGCCCCCATGGCATGTAATGTCACGATCTGGTGACAGGACTGTTGTTATGCTAGTTGTTTCTGCTTTCCATATTTTACTCCTATCAAAGTTGTGTCTCTCAGTGACCTTTCCAAGAATTGTTCCACACTGGTGCAGTTCAACTTTGTAAAGGTTGTTGTTTCTACACTCCTCATTGACAGGCTGAGGTACCACCTAATAAAGAGCATGAACCAGTCATGTCCTGCCATCTGCTTCTCATCCTGCAACAGAGGAACTATTTTCTGGGAGGTGTTCAAACATTATAGACTTTATTCCCTGCACCATTATCACTTCTTTTGTGGTTACCCACTCTGCACAGCTCTGTTGAACATCACAGTGATGACTAGACTGAGGTAAGAGGCAGCCCAACTCAAGGCTTTAACTGCAAATATAAACTCATTTGAGAAGTATACAGTTATTAATAGAATTAGAAAGTACGATTTAGATTTTTGCCATGTATCTTCAGTATCATGACTGAAAAGTTTAAAAAATGTTGTATTAGTACATAGCCTTTGTCATGCATTATCATGTTATTAAACTTCTTTTGCAGAAAGTGCAATATAAAAAGTAATTTGGCAAATCATTGATAAATGTAGCCCACTTGAATGGGAGAACACTGGCCATTCATATATACATATGTATTCTTTGTAACATTTATTAGGGAAAACAAAAGGAGGTCAAATAATTTCCTGGCACGTGCACAGCACATGCTACTGACACAAGGACAACTCTCTCTCAATGGCCTCTAATCGTTGGTGGCACAATGTTTAACAACGTGGTCTGGTGAAAACCCATCATCAACCATCCAAACAGTGCAACAGGGGTCCAGAAGCACAACAAAGTTTTGGGCAATATTTGACAAGACCCACCTCACGTTCATGCTGCTCACTTAGAGCTACAGCTGTGGACTTGGACCTGGAGTGAGTCTGAGAGAGCAAATTAATAGGATACAGTCTCTGCCTTTTCCTTGAAAAATTTAGTGTCTACACAAACTGTTGTTACACATCTGTTGCTGGTGTAGTTGCACACATTAGCTTGAAAGGATAACTTGGCTTGTTTAGTATATTATGTGAACATTCCTGTCATCCTGAGCATCCTGCCTAGGCCTGTTCAAATAACCAGCAGATCAGTACAGCTTTGCTTGATACACCGCATGGAAACAGCCCTATCTGATTCAACTGATGCCCTGGCAATAACAATGCAGTGCATCATTAAGAATACAGAATACAGAAGCATAACAATGAGTTTGAATAATGTGAGTAAGACAACAAGTGCAACAAGTAGTACATCGAGTACAAGTGAAAAATCTGTGTGTCTTTATCATTACTACAGGACACTGATCTATGTTCACCTGCAGACCAAAGAGGGAATCGATTTAAGCCTGGTGTGTTACTTCAGGTTTTTTTGTGTCTTCAAAGTTTTATTGAATAAAGAGTCATTGATATGATGAAAAACACAGTGGTAGGAGAAGGGATAGCAGGGCTGTGTTGTTCTTTATACTTCACAGATGATTTGGCTGGGACACAAGTCTGAGTCTAGGATGTGATATTGGCCAAGAAAGAACCCATTAAATTTTGGTGTGGACCTGGACAGAGGTCCGGCCCTTTTGATTCATTTTCCAGGGAATAATTCTTGAATCTGAACCTCAACAACAAACTGGACTGGTCCACTAATACAGATGTCCTGTACAGGAGGGGCTAGAGTCGTCTCCATCTGCTGAGGAGACTAAGGTCCTTCAGAGTGTGCAGGACACTATTAAGGACTTTTTATGACACTGTAGTGGCTTCTGCAGTGTTTTACGCCATTGTCTGATGGGGGTGCAGATGCACTGAGAGGGACAGAAAAAGATTAAATAAACTGGTTAGGAGAGCCAGCTCAGTCTTGGTGTGCCCTCTGGATTCCACTGAGGATAATGTCTCAAAATGATAATGATAATATATCGCTATTTATAGCTTTAGGTTTTTATATCTCAGTGAATCCAATGTAGCTGTTGATAAAGAGCGGTTGGTATGGATGGTGGTGGAGGAGAGCATTTGGAAGTTGCCTGGGAGGTTTGGTTTGGCTGCTGACCAGCAGAGACACACCAGGTCACTTATGTGGACAGACTGAGGATTTATAATAAAGATTATATTATGTATAATATATTGTGGGTCTTGATTAGTGACATTAGTGTTTCCGATATATTCTACAACTAGTTTCAATTCCCATTTGGTGTTTACGTTTTATAAAATCATTTGTAATAACTTTGTGTTTTTGTTTTATGATTTGTGTCTGTCACACTTCACCCAACTACCACATGTCCTCTCAATTTTTTCCTTCTCTCCAGCTCCACTGATCTCACCTGTTTTCCATTTCCAGTCGCTGGAACATCCCTGCCTACCTGAACACCTGCTCCTCATTTCCCTCATCTGCTCCCTGCTAAATTGTTTGCCTTTGTTTCTTTGTGCTGCACCTGTAGTGGACTCCTGTTCATGCTACCTGTATGCAGTTTGTCCATCAACCTCAAATATCTTTATTCACTGCGTCAGCCTGTCTGTCTGTGCTTGGGTCCTACCCACCTGTGCTCCTACAACAACAGTCATGTGACAAATTTTTTGATTATTACCTCAGCCAAGTAGGTTATGCTTTCATCTGCATTTGTTTGTTTTTCATTCAGCAGGATTACCCAAAAACTACGAACTAGGGATTGAACCACTGTACTTGGTGGACGACCTGCTTTACCTCCTGAGTCACAGCCACCGACACAGTAGTAGTGTTTTGTCACAAAATAAAAATGTACTATTCATAAGTTGAATCAATGGATAATTGATCTCAATCCATCATCTGTTCCAGTTCCAATTCCTACTTTTATTGCTTGTGGGACATTTCAAACTGTATATTATATATTGTACAAAGTGGGATATGGATTCTTTTCCTGATCTGATCTCACCAAATACAGCCTCATATTCAATCAGCCTTGACTTTTTATATGGAAATAGATTTATATGAAGCTACAGGGTTTTAAACTGGTGTAGCACTGAAGCTTCGTCCATTTGAAACACTTTGATGTGTTTGCTGGGGCCAAACGTCACCCTAGTTTTTCCTCATACAGTATTTATCCATGCCTCTATTAGTTCCACTAGGTCTGCTACTGCTTTATTAGCAATCAATCAGTGGTAATACTCAAAACCTCTAAACTAAATAATTTTAAAAAAACGACAGCATGATTTTATCTAACTATACTAGAGCGTTTATTCAGTTTTTACATTAAAACGTTCAAATTCAGAGTCAGATCATGTTAGTCACACTGACTCTAGCTGATGAGGTATTTCTCCAAATGACCAATGTCAAATGTTCCATGAAAGTAAAATAAGTTTCTTGCAATGAAGTGAGTTATTTCATCTGCACCCAAATCAAAGAATTGCATAAGATAACTAAGTTTTATTGTCTGGAGGAAGTTAAATCAAATATTGCATCATTATTGTGGATGTAAATCTACAACTCAAACTATCACTGAACTTTCATTTATGTCTTCAAACACACTAAATCTTCCCTAAAGTGGATTATATAAGAACGTGATTAACTCTGCCTGTGGTATTTATTATAATATCTTTAGAGACATCTCCTATGAAAATAATGAATTCCTAGGGAAAATTGTCCGGTTTGCTTCCAAGTATCATATCTTGCTTGTCCCCTGTTTCACATTTTTGAGCTTGTGTTAAGTGGTCAACACTCTCCAGCTCCAAAACCTCACAGAGCAAATCTCCACTCGCTCTGTACAGACAGGGCCCTATCTTTCAAAGCAGACCTTTGAACTGTTTTTGTAACAATTTCATGGGGGTCTTTTTGACATGTCACAGTGGAAGGAGCAGGCTCTCAGTATGACAGTGGGGGGGCTGTGCTCCACTCCAGGACGCAGAGATCGAAGCAGCGAGAAGGAATTCAGCTGTGATCACTTTTATCATTCACATCTGTGCTTCGCTGACTGACAGCTCAAAATGGTTTCTGTAAGACCAACCTGTCAGAATCAATAGTCATTATGTATTGCTGCATAAAATCTGAGATGGGCAGCAGTTCTGAGGTCTGGATATAGGCACAACTGAATCTGCTTTAAATGTCCAACACATGCACAGTCCACCTCAACCAGGTATATTCACTCACTGTGCGTGAATAGATCTAGTTTGAGGACTGTGCTTGAATAAAACCTGCCTGAAACTTCTGCTGCAGCTTGTTATGATTAGAGAAGCTACATCAGTTATCAGTCTTATTTAAGTTTGGTGACCTCAGGTAATTCAAGTGAAGCTCAACCCAAGCTGGAGCGCTTGTTTGAACCACAGTCTGTATATAAAGATGGACAACATGGCTGCCCCCCAAAAGTGAAGCCAAAGCATCTTTACCGCCACCTGGTGGCTGGCTGAAGTAATGGTCATAAATTGTAATTTGTTAAATGAGCCTTAAACCAAACTAAAAAGTCATTGTACACCTAAAATATGTTTTTCCCAATGGTGGTTTCAGAGAGATTTGAGCTGTAACTTTTGAATAGGTGTAACTTTTACCAAGGTCCCTGGCTTAAGGTTAGGGTTGTGTCTTGGACAGAATCATCATAAGGAAAGATAAAATGGTGCAAAGGTCAAAGCTTTACA